GTGGGTTTCCTGTGAACACTGATGTTTAACTTCCCATTTTTAAAATCCTTTGTAACAGGGTGGAGGGAGGAATTGATGATAGAAGCTTTGTTTATCGAATCAACTGAAAGAGAATACGTGTAATAGGAATGTTTCAACACCTGTCCACTCGGACATCTGAAAAGCTGTACTACCCTTACGACGACGACAAATAGGAGACAACAAAGAAAGCCATAAAACTCAAGTTTCGAAGTCGTGTGATTATAATCGATGATATGATTATGAACAATAATGAATTGTGTTCGAAACGATGTCATCCAGTAAATTATAATACTGTTTCACTTACTGTGAGTGATACATCTAATAAACAAACTAATATGGAATTTCGTCAAGTAGGTATTCACTGTCACATTGTCCAAAAGAAATTTCCATCTCCTAGTACTACGGATTCGATGATATCTGAAGATTAGCATGACGTTATTTCGGCTGATGGTGACTAGCTGACGAAGTTCAAAAAGTATGAAATGCACATCCTGTCTTCCATTGCTAGTCTACCGAATTATGCTACTTTAAGCCTCAGATTTGTCGACATGTCAAGTGGGGCTGAACATATCGGTCCATTCAATCAGTGGGAAAATCAGAATGGAATTAAAAAGTCCTAATAAGTGATGACCGTCGTAGAAGAGGGGGGTCTCGTGGCCCAAGTGGTCTAGTGGACAACACTTCGACGTTTGAAACGATAGGTACTGAGTTCCTATCCCATTGAGAACATTATTACCTATTGGGGATTTCAGGTGCACCCGGTTGACAAGTTTCAAATGGGACGAAATGCGCGCTGTGCATTCCACTGATAGTCAACACCCAAGAAATTACTACTAAACGTAGTGTTATTTGATTGTTTGTGGTTAGCGGCGGAATTCTAGAAGTAAGTTTTGTCCGATTGAATATAACTCTATCTCCACTGGTTGACAATGTCTTTAACAAGGATAAGAGGTATATCCAGTCGATGGGTCTCGAATAAGGCGAGAAAATTGCGTCTGGCATCGACCAAATAAGACTGCTGTTTCGTTAAAACAAACACCTATAAAGTATTACATGATTTGCAGTAGTTTGCTAGACATCACCGATTCATCCTTGAGGTAATTATACCTGCGTAAATTTCACATCTAAATATTTCAGTGTTTTGTTTTCTGTCATGTTTAGATACTTACAGTGAAAATGAAAATTCTTCAGAAGCTTATATAAATTTCAGAATAAAGGTCAATGAAAGTTCGGTAAGCTTGAATTTACATTTAAATTAATAGATTTAGGAGTTAGTTTGTAGGATTTTCAAAAGTTTCAAGTTCGATAGTGGACTGATATCAGTTAGAGAACCATTAAGAACCAAAGAGTGCTTAGCATCTATAGGGGTTCAAAACCAGAGCCTTCTGGTTAAGAGGTAAACTTGAAGACCAATCAGCTGCTGGAAACTTATTCAGTAGCGAATGAATTCCAGTATCAATGGAGAGTATTTGTCAGACCTGGTGGACCCTATCGGTCATGATTTCTCACTGGAAATTTAGCCGGCTTCGTCCAGTAGTCAGTCACCAGCGAGCATCAGATTAATTGGTAGAATTTGGAATTCATGGGCCATTTATTGGATCACGTCCAAGCAACTGAATGGTCTACTAGCTCTCTTCGTAACTGGAAGATACTGGCTTGGGACCCTGGGGGGGGGGGGTGAATTGCTGAAGAGTCCCGAACTAAGAGGGAGTAGCCTTCCAGTACTACATATTGGTTTCAGGAGTTCTCTAATTGACGTTAGTTAATGATGAAATCTTGAAATAAATAAATGTTTACCCCTCTACCGCCAAGGTGAAAATACGAACCGTACATTTTGCTTTTATACACAAACATCTGGCTTGAATTCATATATATAGAAGCTTGGGACGAAGAAAATGAAGGAAGTCAGCAGGAGTTTGATAGATAACCTTAAAATCATAGTGTGAGTAAATAGTGGAAAACACCCATAAGGACATTAGAAAGAAGGGAACACGAAGTTTTGTAAAGATATCTTTTCGGCGATTTCATTTTCAAAAGTAGCTGTACAATCGCATTTATATACATAGTTTTACATGGATACATAATTACGACGGCGAATAAAAGGTGACAATTATTTTCAACTAGATCTGGTTTACGAGAGGCTTAGAAACAAAATTAACACAGGATTAGAACGGATAACAAGTGTGCAAAAATGAGCATGGAAACAAAATTGAAATAATAGTTTTAACTTGAAATGTAAGTTAGGAGGTGAGAATATTGATTATGAGAGCCCTAGAAACACAAAAATTGCACAGGATTACGATATAATTGTAAAATAGTTGTTTTAAACGAATTATAAATGTGAGCAGGAAAAGCATGGAAACAAACTTAAAATAAGTGTTCTTATGACTGAAAAAATGGGGTGAAGCGAACGAAGACAGAGGGAGTTAAAATAAAAAAAAGGAAGCTAAGGGAACATACCTAACTAAGTCCATGGTATTGAAGAGGTTGAACTAATTTCTTCTGAACACACAGCTCCAGCTTCTCGAGGCATATTGCGAGGGCTTTTGCAGCACAGAGAAGTCGGAAAAACACTGCTTTTGGTAGGTTTCTGCTGACTTTGTAAATTACTCTGAAAGAATCAGTTGAGATATTGTGGGGGGTGTTGATGAGGTGTTCAGTAATGGCGCTTCTGATTGAACCAGTGCCTCCTCTTTGAAGCCACGCTGGGTAATTTTTTCTAATACGTTTCGAAAGGACGCACATAGAACGACCTATGTACCTAGCTCCGCACCAGCAGATGAAATCGTATATGCACATTGAATTGGTCATATGCGAGAGTTTGTCCTTAGCGTTGTTTCGAAGTATTGGATAGCTAGAGAATGTCACTCTTAGTGTTGCTACAGGGAAGGTCTTCTTTAAAGAGGTGGAGTTGATAGTGACAGAAGTAGATCAAGTGAGTTCTAGAATAGAGCTTCTCATACCCTTTCTCCTATGTGGAACCATGTTGGGTTGTGTTGTCGTATCCATGTAAAGCATTCTCTGGCTATGGCTGGTCCACTTTATTCCACAAGAGCTCCATAAGAATAGTTGGCTTACTCCAAAAATCATATGAAACTATGCGTAAGTATTGGTTAGTCTGTGCTACTGACAAGACGTAAAAGTAGTACATAGATAGAGAGGTTGTTCCTCCTTAGTCGACCTTGGCAACCCACCCTAAAACAGGTCATCTCCACAGGGTACGGAACTATGTGGGACTGAGAGTACCGGCATATGGGTACTCGAATTGATCGGGCGTCCACGGCAAGCACGGCACCAATGCGGTTGCCCTGTCGTAGGGTGTTTGTCCAAGTCGATCAAGAAAGGAGAGCTATGCTAGCTATGTACTACCTATAGGCCTTGTCAGTAGCACACACTATATGTGCATATGGATCATTAGAGATTTCTTAACTTAAATATAAATCTTGTCATTTGTTTAATGATAGAAGAAGTTGGAATCTGGAATCCACGATTCATCTTATTTAGGACTCATCAGGTTGACACTTCAACTCAACACCCATCACCATAAGAGTCATCTCATGTGTAAAAAGTAACTTCGGATTCGTAATAATGGTAATATCAAGGCATCATATACACCTTAACGAGGCTGATCAGCTTAACCTCAGGGATATATCAGCACAAAGTTACAAGTGTGAGTGAATAATTTCAAATTTTATCAACGGTGACTCTTCTAAATGGTTATGGACAGTGAATTGCATGCAAGGGGGGGGGGGGGGGGAAAGGAGTTTTTCACAGTTGTCCTTCCTTTCCAATTTTCCACCTCTGATTCAAGCAAAAAGCTCAATCTGTCGAGTTCAAGTGCATGGCATAGAAATAAAATTTGGTTTTAGGATTTCATCATGAACTGACATCAATTAGAATACGATTGGGAAACCAGTCCCGGAATACTGGACAGCCACCTGTTTCGTCCTATTTTTGGATATATCAGAGGTACGCAACCACCGCCAGGTTTCCAACCCACGACCTTCTGGTTACAAGGCGAGCGAGCTCTCAGACCATTAAGTCACTGGACGGTAGAACAATACATGACCTCAAGTTAGATCAAGAACTGACATACACCAAGAAGTAAAGGACAACTGCTTTGTCCGAGTTTGGTTTCCTCAACATTACTCACCAGTGATTACAATGTTGATCATGCCTAAGAATTTCAAGTTGCAACCAAGAGGCCGCTGATCATTCAGCCAATGAAACAGAATCTATTGTTCCAGAATTTCTCACTACTAAGAACCCAGGAATATAGCGCAATCGTCCGCCAACATCATCAGCGAATATTCGTTCTCATTCCTTCTCATCAAGTTGGGTGACCTCACTGGTCACGAATTTTCTATAGAACTCTAGGCATCATCATCCTGTGCACAGTCACTAGTGAGCTACACGCCGCAAGTTAGGATCCATGAACCATCGGATTCCGTCCCAGCGGCTAAATGGTCAATCAGCTCGTCTCTTAACATGAAGGTTCTGGATTCTATCCAGTAAGGGTAAGATCATATCTGCGTACTGCGAAAAATTCCCAAACTCGAGTGAGACAGTCATTCAGTACTTCCTCTTTTTCACTGCCTCTATAAATGATGTCAATTCATCATCTAACTTGGAATTCATGGTTGGAGGATTTCATCATGGGCTGACATCCTTTAGAGAACCACTGGAAAGCCTGGGGGTATTGGACAGCTGTTTCGTCAGTCTAGTTTGGGGCTCTTCAACAGTAAACACCCACCGCCAGGGTTATAACCCAGGACCTTCTAGTTACAAGGCGAGCTCATAGATCATTCAGCCACCGGGAACCACCCAATCCAATGGCCCATGAATTCTAACTTATGTTATCTGTTGACAACAATGAACTGAAATTCATTCAAATTGTCTGAGCATTTGAAAAGTCGAATATTTTTTTACTTATTTTTTTCCTCGTATAGTTTCTTTCATAAGTTGGATTTCTCTTTCAGATGAATAACAATGAAGGTGTACAAAGCTTTAATGCAATACCATTGAGTAAAGTGAAACGGTTAAAGTTATGGCTGAAACGATTTGAAATAATTCAGTTATGGTAAGTATGTTTCTAAAGAATAAGATATTACCATGGACTGTATAAATTTGAAGTTGATTACTTTTCATTTATACATATGCATTTTAAAAATTGTAACCAGAACGTGCTGGGTTCGAACCCCGGTAGGTGCGTAGTGCTGAAGAGTCCCAAACTAGGACGAAACAGCTGTCCAGTACTTCAGTGCAGGTTTTCCAGTGGTTCTCTAACTGATGTCAGCTCATGATGAAATCCTTCATGCAATTTTAAAAACTCCCCATTGATTCATATGCAAGTAAAGGCGTTCATCAGCGAAGAGTTACTGTAACTTTCGGCTATATCATTCCCAAGCTGTACAATCGCATATGTAAGTATAGTTAACTGTCTTAGCAACGAGAGAAATGTTTCCAAGGATATGTCGTTAAAGATTGTAAATTTTAGTTAACAGATTTCGTTAATGGGTTAAAAACTAAAATAAGATTAAATAAGCAAGTTGGGTGATGTAATCTAATTGATGGGGTTGAGTAGAGCTCAGCTAAAATTAAAAGTGAACAAAAGTCAAGTTAGCAACAGTGGTGATAAGGGATGAGGGAAGAAAATATTATACAATTAAGAAACAAACAAGCAAGAGAAAGACGAAACAAAATTACGTATTTGGTGTTAAGATAGAAAAGTCGACGATCCCCAAACTAGGCTCAGGAAACAGCTTCCCAGTCCTCTAAGGTTTTCCAATAGTTCTCTAACCAATGTGAGCTCATGATAAAATCCTGTAACCAAAGCTTTAGTGATTAACCTGTCTCTCCACCTAACTATATTACTTTTTAATACTCTCACCCTGTTCCACCCTTTAACGAGTTCATCTTCTACATACATCTGAGGCCATGGGAATCCCATTCAAGAAGACAAATCTATGTGTTTAGCAGAAATTCGTACAGTCACTTTCCTCACAATGACCGTGATTGCATGAATGTAAAAAATTGAAGGTTTCTTCCTCCTCCGAAGCCCTTAACAAGTTATCCAATGTCCTAATTATTTTAATATTGAATGAAATATTCCCACATTGTGTAATAAGAAAAGGACGTAATCATAGAAGAAAAATTCCTTTTCGACGATTCATTTTCATAACCTGTACACTCATAATTATATTTAACAAAGAAATCATAAAACTAATCAGATACTGGTAAAATTTGTCTTCGAAAAACAAGGGGTAACCAATTGGAAATTAGTATGCCTACAGTTCCGAAAAAACCAATATTCATAAAACCGCAGTTCCGCGGTGACAACATCAGCGAATTAATAACACAGCGCCTGAAGAATGGAGTTAAAACACCTTATTATGCAGCAGAGGTACAATGTCTCTTCACAACCACCCCTATTCTACGTTCGAAGAATAAGGATAAAATTCCTAAATTTGTCTCTTCTATGTGTATCTACCAGTTTGACTGCAGCTGCGGAGCGTACAATTAGACAAGTTCATCATCGTATTTCCTAACATCATCCAACATGGTTAAGCAGCAAGGGACAAACAAGATCTATTCGTAGCTCTATTTTAGCACACCTTGTAGATAGTGAGCATAAGGTTGACGTTAATACAGCATTTAAAATTATTTATCACATTCCTACTAATCTTAATTTTGCTTTACGAGTTCGTCTTCTATATACCTACAGCTGAAGCAATAGGAATCCACCTGAAGAAGCCAAACCTGTGTGTCCAGAAGAAACTCGTACAGCCACTTTTCTTACCGTGGCCATCTCTAGAAGAATGCATAAACAGGACTACTTCGCCCCCTCCCCCTAAACTTTTAAAAACTATAAAAATCATAAATGTCCAAATTATTTTATTTTTCTGACCACTTCATCTTTAATTACGTATTGTCCTTGTAAAATTAATTTATTCTAACCATTTCTACCTTTTAAATGTGTATTGATTTTCTTCGTTAATTATCACCCCAGTGACATGTTGACACTGACTAATTATTGTTAACAAACATATCAGTGCCACTTGATTGGTAAAGTGTTGTGTATTGTAATAAAAATGCTATACGTGTATATTAGAGTAGAGCCATATGGAGATGAGGATCTAATTGAAAAGTAAATATTTCCTCGCTGAATCTTTCTGTTTTCTAAATGTCTAAATGGGGATTTTTTTCTATATTGAAATTAAAAAAGGGGCAGAAGTTGGAATGACGTAATAAGTTTCGGAAAATAACTAATCAATTTAGTTGTGTAGAGTGGACAAGAACTGGTGGAAAGACTATAAAATGTTTTTATAGAAGCTGTATGAAAACGTCGTGTTGTTAATAAACAGTAGTAGAGTGATAATAAAATGAGGGTGATGCGAATAATAATAATAATAGTAAAATTATATAACAAAAGGAAGCAAAATCACAGTGAGGACGTTACTCTGGACACAGTGGGGTGAGAAAATGTATATGGTGCTTTTGAATGCAGGGGTCCGGTTTCAGACCCCGAATAGCCATTGATTCAGCTATGTATAGATGGAGTATTTGAAGTCCTTTAGTTTAATATTGATGGGCTCTATGTAGCACTGTAAAGCATTCATGCACGGGGTGCTCGATTTCTAGGTGTTCGAGGATGGAGCTGATAGTATTCTTCTTTTCTCCTCTAGCTGGCTAGCTAAGCTGGACAGTGTTCCAGAATATATTTGCGATCTTGATGTTGCGTTCGGCCGATATACTTTACTCCACACAAACAAGTAAACTGATAGATACACGCTGAGGTGGCCAAAAGCGGTATCTTATCCCTAACGTTAGACTGGATTATCTATCTGTTGGAGAAAGTGTTACGTAAGGTGGGTGCTTGAAATGTCTTCTTCAGACATTTAAAAAGAATTTCCGCCTCGATGTCCTCTTTGAATTTCAGGTTCATGAAGAGAGTTTTCTTAGGAACAGTTGTGATTTTTGGCCCCGGAGGACTCTCCTCCTTCATGTTTTATTTTGTTTATGAGTCTTGGTGGATACCCATTCAATAGTAGAGTTTCTGACTAATTCATCTTTAATGGTTGATTACGTGACCAATTTGAATTCTCACTTAATTCTTAATTATTCTCTCTCTAAAATAATACATTGTGTAATCCAGCTGTATGATTTTTGCAAACATTTCTAAACCTTTAACTGTTGACAAGTAAATTTTCCTTCGTTTAATCTTTGCATCCTATAAATTAATTCCATTCTACAAAATAACATCAAAATACAACCACCAAACTACAAGATGCTCAACTTGCAAATTAATCCTCTGTTTGCGGTTTACACAGTTTTAGGAACTTCACCGAAAAACATCTACCCCAAAGTCAACCTGCCGAATCAAAGGCTTACAAGGAAAGCACACAGAAAATCTTCCTACCATGCACAATGGATATCTCAGAAATCATTACAAAATTCTTTAAACCATTAGGAATTAACGTCACACACAAACCAACGAAATCACTTCACTCAAACAGCCAGCCGTTTGTCAACCGAAAGACAGATTCAACGGCGAAAGAAGATAAAACCAACATCATCTACGTAAATATGAGTTGCAACGACCGCGAAAAACACTACGTCGGCCAAAGTGGATATCCTCGTTTCCATAACCATAAACCAGCCGTCAAAAGATATGATATCCATTCCATCGTATCAATACATACAGACAACCACAGACATCAATTCGACTGGGACAACGTTGAAATATTAAACAGAGGAAACACCAAGAATGCTGGAGAATTTTTAGAAGTCTGGTATTCCAGTGAATCGTCAATTAATAGACCCACTGACATTGACAAAATTTACCAATCGATAAGAACGGAACCTCATACGCAAAGGGTCAAACTTCAAGTCAAGCAAATAATCAGTACCAATGTGAGTGTAGCCTAGAGGGTGTGAAAACACACAGAAACAACCAAAGAGTCACGTTCAAGGTGGTCACCAGGAGAGATGACTAATAGATTCGTTAAGAAATCTTAAAACCCACTTCATCAAATTGAAGTATGCGCTCTGGAGATGTCACCTAGTGGTGGGGCAATGAAAGCTTCACAAATAAACTATCCAGCTGCTCAGAGGACACAACTACATCAAATTAGCACCATGGTAGCTAGCCAGATTTCGAGTGGTACACTAATGATGAACTCGACCTCAAACGAGGCAAAATAGTCATCCGGTGTTTCAATCGCCTCAGTCTGGCTAGCAAGCAGCATTGGTGGTGCTTGGCTACTCACAAACATATTAGTTATATATCTTAATGCTGATTTACAATAAAGACTATCTTCTAATGAGTTATTTTTACAAGTGATATAGACTTTTGAACAGTTTATATATTTTCTCTGGTCTTTAATACCTAATTTCCCACATTTCAGTACTCCTGTAATACACTATGAATTATTCACACCTTCATTTTGTGAAGATTTCAATAATAACACTATTCAAAATGCAACCAATGGTAAGCCTGCTTAATATTCGATGAATAAAATTTTGAAATTTCAAGTCAAATCTTGATCACAGTTCATAAGAATAGGTCTTTAGGCTTCAGATTTTCTGTAGTGATATTGTTCCTTTTACTAGGTGAGGTAGTTGGCCATACATCCACACGCCTTCCTCTCTTTTCCAAGCTTTCTACTGGTTAGTAAACTAGATGACGTTTAGGTTAGGAATCCAACCTGGATGTTTCACATGCCTAGTAAGCCTTGTACCACAGGGTTTCATAGATTGTGTCTCACCTTTCCACATTGACACTATACATTATAGGGCGATCAGTCGCCAGCCCAAATAGCTCAGTGGTAACGTCTCTGACTGCAGTACTCACTGGGTGATACGGGTTCGAATCTCAGAGGTGTGGGTTATGAGTTCCTTCAACGTTGCAGGTACGCCTTGTTGACTGGTGAGTGACAACTAGCACGTTACTTAGGTCAGACGAGGCTTCCTTCCGATTGCCTCCAACCGCCTAATGTGTAAATCTTTGATGCATCGGTGGCACAGCGGTTAGGACGCTCGCCGACCATGCACATGGTCCGGGGTTCGATCCCCGGCCGACGCACTCCTTTACCTCACTATGGTTGGGCATGAGGCTAGCAACCCCATCCTGTAAAATTAAACACTTCTACAGAAACTTCAAGCCTGTAGCTTGAAGCCCTATGTTCCACTGGGAACGTGAAGGAATAAAAAAAACTATTCATTATGGCCAAGCTGGAAATTGGCTCGTTTCAAAATACAAAAATCGACCAAGTTAAACTTTAAGCACCACTAACTACCAGTGCGGTGCGACCGCACCAGTGACCTTGAAACGCTCACTGAGCAAGTTAGTTAGTGAAGCCTGGCAAATAATGTTGTCATCATCAATCAAATATGCTCATCGAAGTGTTATGTTATTAAATGGGATATCTGGCAAGTTTCGACTTGGGTTTGGCAAAGATTAAGTTCCAGTTTAGGCCAAGGACAAGTTAGGGTTAGGTTAACCTATTAAAGTTGACATTGGGGTTAGTTCAAGTTAGGTTACAGTTAGTTTAGGGATATTTTCACGTTAGGGTTATTGTTAGGGTTAGAAGACCTAAATAATTACATGCATAGAATGTGGTTAAATTGCTCTGTTGATATAAGAATAGAACTTGTGCACTGTGGCGGTAGAGTATAATTCCATTGTGGATAAAATTTGTTTTGAAAAAGTCGTCTCACAGTGTGTCATACAGTAATATTTACTGATGACTATGTTTCGAGCACAATTTATTGCTCAGTAAATATTACTGTATGACACACTGTGAGACTTTATCGAAATAAATTTCACTCACAATGGAATTATACTTTGTTGATACTCCAACCTAAAACTGAGAGCTATTTTAATCACATGTCAGAGAAAGGTATCCTCTGTAACACTTTTCTACAGCTTTTATGCATTTTTTCCCTTAAATATATGTATTCCATACACAAAAATGTCTCCTTCACGTGACTGGTGCGTTCTAGGTCATTCGCTGATTGGTAGTTACTGGTGCTTAAAGTTTAACTTCGCTCAAAAATCATGTCGATACATTGGGTAGCTAGAAAAAAACATGGAATCTAATGAATGCACACAAACATGTTGAATTTTCTTGAAACTATACCTTTAAATGCAATGTTTTAAGCAGAGGAATATGTAGGCAAACTGTGACTCAATGAATTTGGAAATTGTTTCTTGAGTTTATTTGAAGTATTTGGATAGCGTTATAAGAAGACGGAGATTATCTGAAAAGCAATGTGGGATGTATTTGCGCCATACATTTCGAAGAATCTGATCCCTAACACACTTACTTGTCAAGTCCATACATATATACATATATATTCAAGTATTGGTTTGGTAGGGATTTTGTTTAATTGTATGGAGGATTTCATCATGAGCTGACATCAGTTAGAGAACCACTGGAAAACCTGGGAGTACTGGACAGCTGTTTCGTCCTAGTTTGGGACTCTTCATCAGTACGCGCCCACCGGGATTCGAACCCAGGACCTTCTGGTTACAAGGCGAGTGAGCTCGTAGACCATTAAGCCACTGGGACCCGATCCAATGGTCCTTGAATTCTAACTTCTGCCAATTCACAGTACTCTCAGGTTTTCCAGTGGTGATGTCAGCTCATGATGAAATCCTCCATGTATATATATATATATATATGAAAATGTTAAATTAAACAAAGTGAGAACCGAAAGCAATGGAGACGCACGGCTGAAGCCCTATGTTCCTCTAGGAATTAAAGGAAACAATAATAATATAATAATAAACAAAGTGACAAAGAAAGGATTTAAGAATGATTAACACACCGTTTGGTAATCCAATCAAATAAGGATTACCAAGGTAGGTTAAGAGTAATAATAAACTGTTTTAGAATACACCCATTAAGACATTGAAATAAGAACAAATTAGTTCAGCGAAGAGTCTCTTTTCGGCGAATTCATTCACTTAGCTGTACAGTCGCAAATATATATACAATTATTTTGTGTGTGTGTGTACATTAGGTTTGTCAAAATCAAAATAACAGTTAGTGTGGGTTGTTGATTATATCATCAAGATAATGAAGAAGTTAAAATGTGTGATTAATACTCAAAGTTGTAACTAAGTGGGGTGAAGATTGGTAAGATGTGAGTAGAGTTACATCATCAAAATAATGAAGAAGTTAAAATGTGTGATTAATACTCAAAGTTGTAACTAAGTGGGGTGAAGATTGGTAAGATGTGAGTAGGGTTACGTAATATGGACATGTTTAGAAAGATTAGATGCTAGTGAAGGAGTTTGGAGACAATTATGAAAATAAACTAGATAATAGGTGAAAAGATTGAATGGGTTAGTTACTAAAAATTGTTATACGAAAATTGCAAAAAATTTGATAACAAAATGTTGATGACAAATAAACTTGGAATTAAACCCACGGTAGTAGGAGGGGGTGGAGAAGTTTCTTCTGTGTGCATAACTCAGGCTTTTCCATCCAAATCGCTAAGGCTTCAGCAATACAAAGTATACGAAAGCTTGTCGATTTTGGAAGGCTTCTTTTGACTTTATAGATGACTTTGAACGACTTCTCCTTGCAAATCGAATGACCAGTGTTGAGTATATGCTCAATAATGGCGCTCCTTATTGCTCCGTTGTTACCTTTCCGTAGCCAGGCGGGATAGTGTTCTTGAACTCTTTTAGATAAAACACGCATCGAACGACCTATATACCTCGCTCCACAAGAGCAGGTGAATTGGTAGATACACATGGAAGTGGTCAAATGCGATAGTTTATCTTTAGAGTAGTTGAAGAACAATGGCCGGGAGGAAAATGTCAGTCGTAGTGTGGCAGCGAAGAATGTCCTTCTGAGAGCAGTAGATATCCTCTTCTTCAAGGTGTCAGCCAGAAGGTCACCTTTGAAGGGTACATTCATGTAGACCATCTTCTTCTGCACTGTAATGGGTTGTTCTTTGTACGTCTTAGGCTTAATGTGCTTGTCTATAAAACGGGGTGGGTAGCCATTCTCGAGCAGTGTCTTCCTTAAGAGGGCGATCTCTTCCTCTATTGATTCTGGACTACAGATTTTTCGGATTCTAGTCGCCAGAGATATTATCAAATTTCGCTTGCGACTTATTGGTACCCAACTGTAGAAGTTTGTCAATTGACCGTTCCATGTAGGTTTTCTGTGTACTGATCTGTTCAAGGTACCATCGGTCTTCTTACTTAGACGAACGTCCAGAAAGGAGATTGTCTCATTGGTTTCTTCTTCGATTGTAAATTTGATGGCAGGGTGGCAACTATTGAAAACTTGAAGAACAATATTTTGATCACAATTGTGATCGCAGATGACGAAAGTATCATCGACATACCTTTTGTATAAGAAGAATTTGTCGATGGTTGCTTTCAGCGGACCGTTTTCCAAACTTGCCATGAAAATATCAGCCAGCACCGGACCCAAAGGTGATCCCATCGCCACGCCATCTTTTTGTCTATAGAAGTTCCCATTGAATGTGAACTGGACATTTAGGGTACATCTGAGTAGGAGTTCTTTTAGCTTGGTGGTAGGTATTCCAATATCCAGGTTGTTTTCTTCCAAGTATTTGCATAGAAAACAAATCGTCTCAGTGATAGGGACGTTTGTAAAGAGAGACTCGACGTCGAGTGAAATCATACGTTTGTCTCCCACTTTAACATCTTTGATGCAATCGATGAATTCGAAGGTATCCCGGAGGGAATGTTTTGAAATTCGTTCTCTGACAGGTTGTAGGAGTTCTGCTAGCCATTTCGCTATTGGATGATATGGAGATCCCGACATGTCCAAAATAGGGCGCAGCGGAAGACCCTGTTTATGAGTTTTTGGCAATCCGTATAGTCGGGGTATTATTGAACCTGTGGGTCGAATGCTCTCGAAGACATTTTCAGAGATAACTTGATCAGTCTTTAGCTTTCTCAAGATCTCAGTTAGTTGTTTTTCCGTCGCTTCGGTTTTGTCTTTCTCTTTTTCGAATACTGAGAACTTATTGTTGTCTGAGAGAATCGCCATCATTTTATTAATATAATCTTTTCTATCCATTAAGACTATGCCTGTACCTTTGTCAGGACGTGTGATAAGCAATTCTTTGTTCTGCCTTAGTTGGTTGAGTTGTTCTCTATGTTCTTTGGTCAAAAGGCTGTTGAACTTGGACTTTGTATTCAGATACTGTTGACAAGAGTCTAGAATAGTGGACTTGAAATGTTTGAATTCTTCTTCGGAAGCTGGGACAAGATCAGTAGTCTGATTGATCAAATTTTCAAACTCGACATAAGTATTGAGCTTGCTTATGTTGGAGTTCATGTCGCAGAATCTTGGCCCGAGAGACAAGGCCTCCAATTGTATGGGAGATAACGTTACTGAAGAATAATTGAATACAAATTTGGTAGGATCTTCTGGAAACTTGCGTCTTGTTTCTGCAGGTTTGAGACTTTTCAATAAGTTAGAATGGATGGATTGTGTACGCTTCTCCGTAACCACAGTGACATAGTCGGTAAATGCTTGTCGTTCATCACAAGACAATTCGTGTAACGCAGAGGATCGTTGCGCTATGTTCCTCTCGAGTTCTGGCACACGTGATATAATGGAATCGATATGGTTCAGAGTATGACGCAATTTTCGTATAACAATTTTTAGTAACTAACCCATTCAATCTTTTCACCTATTATCTATCTAGTTTATTTTCATAATTGTCTCCAAACTCCTTCACTAGCATCTAATCTTTCTAAACATGTCCATATTACGTAACCCTACTCACATCTTACCAATCTTCACCCCACTTAGTTACAACTTTGAGTATCAATCACACATTTTAACTTCTTCATTATCTTGATGATATAATCAACAACCCACACTAACTGTTATTTTGATTTTGACAAACCTAATGTACACACACACACAAAATAATTGTATATATATTTGCGACTGTACAGCTAAGTGAATGAATTCGCCGAAAAGAGACTCTTCGCTGAAGTAATTTGTTCTTATTTCAATGTTTTAGAATACACAGGGTGGGGGGGGGGGCTTAGGTTTATGAATGGCTATAGCCTCAGCGTATTTCAATAAGCGCCCTTGACCGTTTTTGTAGATGACCTTAAAGGCTGAGTCGACATCAATCATATGGTTCATCTCGATTAGGTGTTTAGCTATAGACGAAGTTGATAGTCTGACACCTGCATCTATTGGTTTTTCACAGTTCATTTGTTTTTCTAACCATTTGGAATATGCTCTCCCACCCTCACATGCAGAGCGCGATTACTCCTCCCTATGTATGTGTGACCACACACACACACGAAAATTGGTAAATAGTGTGGGATGTGATATAATCACTTGTGCGCTTTTGAGGTTTGAGGCGAAGCATATTTTTAGCTCTTTCGACAATTATTAGCTGGGCTGCATAATAGGTTCTACGGATGATCGAATTCAACCTTCGTCTCAAAATCCTACTGTTTATTTCCCCGTTATATGAAATACGCCAAGGCTATAGCTATTCATAAACTTAACCCACCCCCACCCTCTGTGTATTCAAAAACAATTTATTATTACTCTTAACCTACCTTGGTAATCCTTATTTGATTGGATTACCAAACGTTGAGTTAATCACCATAAATTATTTAAATTAATCCCAGCGTGTTAAGAAAATCAAAACAATATTTTTCTGAACGTTTCACTGTGTAAGCCACAGCTTCTTCAGCAGATTTATTCGGATTTTAATCATTCTTAAATCCTTTTTTTGTCAGTTTGTTTAATTTAACATTTCCATATATATATATATATCGACTTGACAAGTAAATTTGCGATCAGATTGTTTGAAATGTATAGCGCGAATACATCCCACATTGCTTTTCAGATAATTTCCGTCTTCTTATAACGCTATCCAAATTTATAAAAGGGACAAATTATTTTAAATTTATTTGAAGTAGCCTGTCGCTGACAGCTAACATCGGCTAGTTTACTAGCTCGCTAGTTTTCCAGCCGGTACCACGCCCGGGTAAAGACGTGCAGTTGGGCGTGAGGCTAGCCACCCTACATCAAAAAACCAATCAGATCGCTACAGAAGTTTCAACGCACAAGAAAAATACTAACAATACAAAAAAAGTTAACGAACAAACTTATTCTCCGCTGGAATCGGAGAGGCGAAATGACACAGCGGACTCGTGAAAGGCTTAGAGAAGCCAGTCAGCTTTCGAAGTGCATGCAGAAGCAAGACAAGGCCAGCTGCCTATCATCACTGACTATATTCTTAATTGTGGTCGACTGGATTATGCATCAAATTGTGCGTGAGAGTGAGAAGACAAGAATAGAATACGCTGGACTGACTAATAAGAAAACTTTAGAAGACTTGAAGGCAGACGAAAACCAACAAACTGACTGAAGAGGCAGAGAAGACAGGACTGCAGGTGATGAAGATAACCAACCACCACCAACAGCAACTAAAACCGATACCAATCACCATCAGAGGAAGAGATTTGACCGAGGTTACCTCCTTCACTTATCCGACTAGGAAGTACAGTTTCAACCACAGCCAGCTAGACAGAATTGGAAAGGCAAGATACGCCTTCATCAACTTAAAGCCGATATGGAAATCCTCTGCATTGACTCAGCCAGTGTAAAGAACAAGATTCGGACTTCCCACACAAATGCGAAGTCAGTCAGTTCATCTATATGGGTCAGGAACTTGCACTGCACACCCGTCACGGAAAGGATTTCCAACGAGTTATAGACTTTTATCAACAGCTGTCACTTTCGCCGGTTGGATCCATACTGAAGATCAGATGGTCAGCCAGAAAGAATTAGCAAGAAACTCTGCAGTGGGACAAACCAACAGGTGAGAGCCAATCGCTCAATAAATAAGTAGAAGAAAATGGAGATGGACTGATCGAGAATACGTTGAGGAGGTCGTCGAATGACACTGAGCGCATTGCAGTCCATCGCTCGAGTGGAATCCAAATGGGAATTGACGAGTTGGTTGTCGGTGCGAGGGTGACATGGAGGAGATTGTGTGAGTTGGAGGAGGAGATAACAGATTATGGTCAGTCGTGGAGCTAACCAGCTTGAGCGGACAACAAAAAGTAGAAGAAAGTGAAGATGTGTCGTTGAAACCCTACGTTCCACCCGGAACCCAAGGAAATAATAATAAATAAATGTAGCTGTCATCTAAAGAATGATAAGTATCTATACATTCATCACGTAGGATTGGTCTACACTGACTTCTTGCTTAAGCGTATGAACTGGATTAGCTGAATGTGTTAACCAGTTCGCTTATGTAGAAATTCTCATCGGGCCTGGCGACTGGTGAGTATAACAACAATCTTAGCATGGATAAGAAAAGTTCGATTGGCGTTTCCCTAACTGAGTCACCTCTGGTTCAGTCATGATATCCCTCTGTGGATTAAAAAACTTGTATACCGCACAGCAGTTCATCCTGTCCTTCTTTACGTCCGTAAGATATGATCATTAAAAGTGGAAGATATGAAGAGCTTAGCCACTTTAGTCTAGAAGCTTTTGACTTCTGTCTAACATATAAGACGGTAAAATATATGATCAGCAATATTAAGGTTATGCGTAGTGTTCATTAAACAGGGGAAGTTGATCGATGAGGTTATGAGGATGTATCGATTAAGATTATTAAACTTCTTTATTCTCGTTCCTCTAAATTCAGGTGTAAAATCAGTTAACAATAATTTCAATCTATGCGATATTCTCCGCCATAATGGAATGATAACAATAAAACAAGCTAATTATTTTACGAAGAATACTGAGCAGAAATTCTCTTTGAAAATGAAAAGTGTTCATGGATATGCTTGTATGCTACAACTGGAATGTCAACGGTATAACTGTAAAGTCAGTTTGAGTTGAAAAAAAGCATTTTATTTATTTCCTAAGTGAATATTTACAAACCAGATCGTGAATGACCTTAGAAAGCACCTTTTCTCAGCTTTCAACATTTTAGTAGATTGGCTACAGGATTTTATCATGAGCTGATATCGGTTAGAGAACCATTGGAAGACCATCAGGGAGTACTGGAGGGCTGTTCCGCCCTAGTTTGGGACTCTTCATCAGTACACCCACTCACCGCCAGGTTTCGAACCCAGAGCTTCCTGGTTACAAGGCAAGCTCGTAGACCATTTAGCTGCTGGGACTCGATCAAATGGCCACCCCATGAATTCTAACTTCTGCTTTAGATTGTCAGTCTTGTCAGTTGTCTTTTCGGCTAATTCCTTACGAAGTAGCAGTTCTATGTGCACATTTTTCGATTTGGGTTTTCTAGCATTTCTATTAATTTCAATCCAGACATCATCATGCACCGACACTAAGGAACACTGAGCAACTGCGGTTTTCTTCCTAGTCTTAACCTCTTCATCAGTGGGCACCAGTGACTGTGTGGAAGGTCAATTCCAGAACTATTTGGTTATGGGGTTACAGTTTCATGACTCATCAATGAATTACATATGTCCAAACAAAGTTCACTTTTAACAGTTTGAAAAATATTGGGCATTGGGTATATGATATTGTTGATTTTACTGAGGTTTCGCTGTTTAATGCTGCTGCTAGTAGCTTTATCAAAACAGTGATATTAAACCAGAATTTACAAAATCCACTCAGCTTATGTGTATAACAACTTAATCGTCGTTCGTCAGCATGGGGTAATTTTTGCGTTATCAAGTTGGCCAATTGGTAAAGATAACAAAACCAGGTGTACAGATTGTTGGATTTGATAAGAGTATGAAATTACATAATGAAATCGCTTATCACATTCGTGCTGACTTTGTCATTTCATGAGGGAGGGGGCTGGGTTCTTGTAACCAGGCCAAATCCTGCTTTAGTCCATCATTCCTACTCAGACAATTTGGATTCCATTTGATCATATGAAGTGTTTCTGATGATATTAGACGTTCTTTGTGATTTCTAAAAAGGTTTTTCTGGATTATTTCAATATTGTCAAAATCAGTTTTGTGGCCTGATTCTATAGTGTGTAGACCACCATGTAGGGCTTGCTGATGATTTTTCAAGCTTTTCTAGTTTACTAACTGGATTTCTCGGTGGTTGGTCGAACAGATGCTCTACGGTGTTCATTTCTTCTCATTTTGATTTATCTCTGGTGAGGTTTGTGCGATGTATATCACATCACATTCCAGGCATTTTATTTTATAGACACAATTAGATAGAGAATCCTTAGGCATTTGGTCTTTTACATGGACAAGGTTGCTTTGTAGTGTATGTGTGCGTCTGATTTTTTTAAGGAAACTCTGATGTTGTGCTCACTGAGTACTCTTCTGATATTATCTAACGTATTTGATGGTCTATATGGAATGACAACTGTTGAGGCCCATGTCTTCGGAATATGTATTCAACCATATATAATGTTTGTGTTGATTTTATTGATGAAATGCTGATGAACGATGATTAAGTTGTTATATATAAGCTGAGTGGATTTTTTAAATTCTGTATTAATATAGCTACTTTGATAAAGGTATTAGCAGCAGCATTAAATAGCGAGACGTCAACAAAACCAGCGATATCGTTAGGTTTTTCATTCACCGGGAAATAAAAAAACTTTTATAAAAGTGAAAATCAGTGAATTCATTCAAAAATCGCTTATGTTACACAGACGAATGACAGTTTTCGTAAGAATGTCCACTTAAGGTGACACATTTTTTATATGGCTTGACTCCACAACATATTTTTGGTACAAATATGGAATTTTCAACATGTGATATCGGTAGCCCAAATTTTGCAGCCCAACCATTGATATCGGGATTGCGTCTGCAAGGGATCGAATTCCAGATCATGTGAATGATTGGCAGGAGTCCTAACCTCCGTGCCACCGACTAACAGATACATACATTCAGCCTTAAGTGTTGTTCACAGATCTTTAAATATAAGACTGAATTCCTTGGTAAGAATTCATACCTAGCCTTGTAACCAGAAGATGCTGGTTTGGAACCATGGAGGTGGGTGTGTACTGTTGAAGAACCCCAAACTAAGACGAAATGACTGGCTATCTAGTACTCTTTGAGTGGTTTTCCAATAGTTCTCTAACCGATGTCAGTTCATGATGAAATTCTGAAATTCAATTTCACTTGTTAGGTTTTGTTGCGAACCAACATCGATTAGAGAGGTTATTGGAAAGTAGGCATTGGTTTCATCCTAACTCGGGGCTCTTCCGTATTCTCTAGTTTTCAGTGATCTCTCTCAAAAATGCTCCTTCATGTCAAAATTTAAAAATTTAAATGAATACAAAACCATGTATAAAAAACATTCTTAGTCCGAGAATCAGTCTCTAACGCATTGATAACTACTGTGAATTGATCTCCTGAAGCTGTACTAAGAACTAGTGACCAGTAGAGCTCATTGTGGGTAAAATTTGTTTTCATAAAGTCTCACAGTATTATACAGTAATGTTTACTGATGACGACGTTTCGAGCACAATTTATTACTGTTCATAATCATCGTATCAAGGCATTACTTACACAACTTTCTAACCTAAACAATCAAAGTGTGATTGGACTTTGTATCAGTTCACTATGATCAGAAAGAAATATAGCGTCATTTCGTGGAGTATGTGATGTTTAGACAAAGATGAATGTAGACAGCTCTTGTTTTGTGATTGAGGCGACGCAGATCAAAATTGATATACGATTGTAATAACTTAGACTTAGTAAGATATCAAAAATCATCAAAGAGTAACATTCCACGACAGAATTCACCTTAACTACTTACGGCTGACAGACAGACAAGAAATGATGCAACTAGCTCGATAGTAAGTTTAAAAGAACTTTTGGCGTATGAATGCTGTACGAGCTTGTGGATATTTATAATAATAATAACAGCCTTATTCTTAAAAATGGGTTCATGCATAATACACTTGTCAAGGAACTTAGCCCTAAGTTCTTATTGTAACGAAGATGCTTCGAACCGATAATTACTATGTATTTTCTCGACTTTAACTCCAAAACACCAGTATTCTTTGAAGGAAGTTATATTGTTTGGCAATTAAAGCAAAGATTAGTACAAGTCTACAAACAAATGTTTAGTACAAATGAAGTTATAAAGTACTTTTATTCGTATTTAACTCCAGTCTTCCTTCAACTTGCAAGCGATCGACCATTCGCGCCTTTCAGTTGCCCATTAATGGCTGCCAAGGCCAATGAACCAACGTTCAAGGCTCTTTTCCATTGACAACAGTAATTTAAGCGATGGTGGAATAATAAAGTGAGCAATATTGAGGTTAGGCATTGGTCGAGTGCTAGGTAGGTGGGAGGGGAAATCAATCGATGAGGTTGTGAAATTACACTGATGGAGATGGTTAGGACATGTATTACACATGCTGGAGAAAAGCTAGTGGTAGTCAAAAGAGAATATGGTATCAGTCAGTGAAATGCATAACAGTTAGTTTAAGCCACATAGGGAGGTATAGACTTCCTGGTTGAAGTGCTTAGGATGGTAAGAACCAATGGAGGCTGGAGACAGTCGATGATATAGTTCCAAATCGTCTTCAATGGGTGGAGCAGATGCATTCACTCTTTGTGATTTATAGTGTCCAAAGAAATTCTATTGTTCTTCTTTATTACCATTCTTTTTCTCTAACAACTCCTTTTTATTATCTCTCTTTTGAACCTCCCTTTACTGTGTTCTCTTGCTTTGTGTGGTGAATGGAGGGAGTGTGGCGGCTAGAACTGGTGCACATCTGTGCAGAGTCCTACGTTGAAACCAGTCAGTCTTTGTGAATTTATTCGAAATCCATTGGTTCATCATCTTCTGGAGGATTATGATGGCCTCAGTTGTATGTTGGAGAATTCGTAATGCAAAATTAAGGTTGTTTTGGATACGATAGATAACTTTACATGCCCCGTTAACATCAACGTTATATCTAGTATCTACAAGGTATGAGAAAGCAGAACTACGAGTAGACCTAACTTGTCTCTTACTTAACCATGCAGAATGATGTTGAACTTGATAAGGACATGATAAGAAAGAGTATTCTTTGCTCAAACTGTTTTGCCTTCTTAAGGAAAATTTGAGTAGAGAAGAATGATGGTGTGTTTAGCTTGTCATATTTCGTTACGAAATGTTCCAAAGCAAATTCAGTGAATTCGAACCATTCAAATATAGAATCTATCTGTATCATTTCACAGAGTAGGTCTTTGTAACTTTCTGATTGAATAATTAAAATTTAATTCATCAAAATCTCATCAGAAATCTGTATAACACGAGGACTGTTTCACGAATTGTTTTTATCTTTATTTATTTCATCTTTTGTAGTTCTTCCTAAAATTTGCAAGTTATTATAGAGTTACAGTTAATTTCAATCTAACATCCAACATTGAACACGTTGAAAATTCAAAAGACGCTCCATTAATAATAACCTTTAATCAAAACAAACCAACTAGAAATGGATCTTGGATTCAAACAATTAAATTCTTTAGTGGTGATAATAAGTATTTATCAAAAGTTGTACTTTATGTGAATGAAACATTTCATTTCAATAAATGTCCATGTGAAAATGTCAGGATTGTTCAACATAAATACATTGAAAGAGTTATGGTAAGACAGTTAATATTTTTTTCTTAAATAGCGTTATTAAATATGAGTATTTGTGTTTTCTGATAAAAATGATTCTTGGTCAGATGATTAGTCAGTAATCTTGTGTACACTTTCGGAGGAATTTACTGTAGTACTCCATCATAGCTGAGACAAAATATGATTTTGATTGGACACTAGTAACTAGTGTGATATGTTTAGTACTTTCTTTGGTGCAGACTGAATGCTATCAGTCAGGTTTGCAATGTGGTCACCATTCTAGGTAGCTCACCATCATGGTGCACATTGATTTGATGATATTTGATGGTTGGAGGCAAACAATGGGCAGGAAGCCTTCGACACCACCTAGGTATCGTGCTAGTTGGTACTCGTCAGCGAGGCGTATCTGCAACCTTGAAGGAACTCATGTCCCTTCTGAGAATTTGGTCTGCACCAAAGAAAGGACTAGACGCGTCACACTAGTTACTAGTATCCAATCAAAATACCTACTACAGACCTAAAGGAGGTAAGTCGCGAGCCCGAATAGCTCAGTGGTAACGTCTCTGACTGCAGCACTCACTGGGTGATGCGAGTTCGAGTCTCAGAAGGGGGACATGAGTTCCTTCATTGTGGTTGCAGATACGCCTTGCTGACCGATGAATGCGAACTAGCACGAAACCTAGTTGGTGTCGCAGGCTTCCTGCCAATTGCCTCCAACCATCTAATATCACAAAATATGATCATCACTTTTGACACCCATACTATGAAACCAGGTCTTACTTAAATATGCGAATGTGAAGTTTGATTTCAAGTTCCTTGAAAAAACTTTCTTCGATCAGTATTATGTTCTTGAAATATGTCTAGATTGATCGTTTGGTATTACTTCACGGAATGATAGTTCAGAGGAAAAGCCCAATTTATATATTTATATGCTGTAGTGCATACATTTTAGTAAAATTGGTGTTACCTTTTGTAGGGAGTGGAATCGCTCGCCCTACTCCTTATCTCACCCCATTTCCGAGATTACTACCGGCCAGGAATCAAAAGCGGACGTCCAGCATGGTTGGCAAACATTCTACTACTGACCCATAGATGCAGTGAAGTTCCTGTACGAAGAGTTACTATGCTGAGACTTCTTTGCCACGATGAAACATAACATCAAGACTATAGTTATCGCTTTTGCTATTATTTTTTTTACTCTGAGCTCTGTTTCTGATGCTTTCACTCACTGAGGAGACTATGAATAGAGAATTACCTTCAGTCTTGGAGAGTAATGCCTTGTAAGATAGAACTCATCTTGAATAAGTGCAATAACTGTGCAAACATCTAACATGATTCATCGAGAAGTAAGTATTTTTTCACCCATTATAATTAGTATCGACAAATTCTAACATAGGTGGGGTTGCTAGCCTTTTTCGCCTAACCTCTCCTCTCTACTAGCCTTACTACTCACTAGGTAAGGTTAAGGCGTGCGTCGGCCATCGATCGGACCCCGGATTACGTCTGTTGTTGACCAGTGGTCTACTGGTGAACTACCGATGAACTGTTAACAAGCCTAGTGAAAATTAATGAAGAATATACGCATATAATGAAACAGTATTAGGATTTCAACACTGATCAATAACTGTCTTCACATAAGAAACCGTTGAAAACCAAGGCGTACTGGAAAACCACCTCTTCTGACCAGAGGTCGAACTCGGGACCTGATTACAAGATGACCCCTACACCAAGCTACTTAGATAGGATTTCATGTCCACCAATTCAAACTTCTGCCGATTCACAATATATAAAGCAGGAACTCCAGCCAATCACATCGACGAGTATTTGTCTTGACACACAACTAGTCAGACAACCTCAACGGGTAGTTAGTCACTAGTAAGCACTATATTTATTTGCACTTCAAATTGAAGTACGCGCTGAAGGCGTTCTGTCTGTCTGTCTGTTTTCGACTTAAAACTTTGCACATATGTGCGGCAGTTCAAGTCGCCACACCAGATAACTATTCAGGCTAATCAGGGAAACAGGTGGCAAAAGGCAAATGATAAGTGAAACAATCTCGGAGAAAAATGGCACCATAATTAGCTCCCAGGATAGATGGCTGGAACGCTGGAAAGAACACTATGAGGAGCAGTTTAATTGGCCTACAGTCACACTTAACCTGCCGAACATCCAACACCTCCCTGAATGGGATATAGACACAGGTCCTCCGTCCTTAACTTAGGTTACTAAAGCTGTCACTAATATGAAGCAAGGCAAAACAGCGGGACCTGATGGAATGACTCCAGAGGTATTTAAGTACTGTAAAGACGGTCTACTGTCTGAATTAACTGAGGTTCAAGGCAGCATCTGGGAATCAGAGGAAATCCCGTCGGTCTGGTGTAAATCATTGATTATCCCAGTATACAAGAAGGGAGACAAGTCTTCCTGTGATAATCACAGAGGGATTAGCTTGACCAGTATGCTATCTAAAGTTATAGGCTCAGTAATAATGAGTAGAATAAGTGGTGCTCGGGAGGCACAAACACGAGTAAACCAGGCAGGTTTTAGACCAGGAAGAGGGTGTATTGATCACATCTTCACCCTTCGACAGATTCTAGAACATAGGCATTCCTACCGGCATCCAACAATCATTATATTTCTTGACCTAAAGGTGGCATTCGATTCTGTCGACCGAGAGGTTCTCTGGCGATGTTTGGCTGTAAAGGGAATGCCGAGAAAATACATTGCACTCATCAAAGCACTGAACTCGTATTCATGCAGCCAGGTGAAGGCTTACGGCGAGTTGTCATCTCGAGTGGTGACGACTAGTGGCGTCCATCAAGGATGCCCATTATCCCCATTCCTATTCAAATTCATCATAGATGTACTAATGGACTTAACCCTAACTCACTTCAGAGACTCAGGGATTGACTTGCAACCAGGGAATAATCTCGTCGACTTAGAATATGCAGATGATATAGTCCTTCTAGGTGAGGACGCTGACAAAATCAAGCAGAGTCTTCTGAACACCTTGAGATGCAATCTACGAATGTTTGGCATGCGATTCGCTCCCGTCAAACGCAAGATGATGTTGTAGGATTGGACTACACCGACTCCTAGCTTAGAAATAGGAAGTGAAGTGGTAGAGCACGTTGACCGTTTCACTTACTTGGGAAGTACCATCAGCCCCAACGGGTTGATCTCCGACGAAATCTCAGCACGGATACAGAGGACTAGTTTCGCATATGCCAGTTTACGCCGTCTCTGGCGTAGACGTGATATCCGACTATCGTTGCCTACTAGAGAAATGAAAGCTTCGCAAATAATCCAAACAACTAGCTCAGAAAACTTAGCAACATCAAAATTATCCACCTGAGCTACAAATCTTCCATATTTACAACTATATTTATTTTCAAGTGTTCTTTTGCTGAGGTTCGTCTGATTTCACAGTTGGTGATGAACTAACTTCATTTAGATAGACAATGGTGGTAGCGCTATATATATATATATATATATATATATATATATATAGCGGATTGTTAGAAGCCAAAATTCATGGACCATTGCATTTCGTCCAAGTGGCTGCATGGTCAACGAGTTTGCCTTGGGTTCGATCCCTGATGGGTGGGTTCATAGATATAAATTACATAAAAATCACAAATAAGGACAACACAACTGTCCAGTACTCCCTGGTGTTCAACGGTTCTCTAGATGTAGACAATTCGTGGTCAATCTTGAACTTAATCAATATCCCCGCAAACCAACACATTGAGAAGTATTATTTTCTACTGGGTGACAAGTTTTCGAATGCCATTTATTATTTATATTCGCACCAACTTTGAAAATCTGTTTCTTTTAATAATCTTTTGGATTGTTTTATAATTACAGATATTTACCAGTCAGCAAATATTACTGTATCCCATGTATTTTAAACAAATAAATAATCGACAATGTAACCGCCATTTTCATCATCAATCAATTCAAACAAGTAAAACAAACTTCGTTCAAGGCATCAATGTTGATGCATTGAAATGGAATAAAGAGTAAATTGTATAATTTATCTCTTTTTTTATCAAAATATTTTTGATACTTTTTTTCTTTATAAAGAAAATTATTTTGGACAGTCAATTTGAAACTGTGCCTTAGTAAATGTATTGCTGAGGAGTTCATGAAGAAGCCAACATGTTGGACAGGTAACTGACTGAACAACATAACTTTTGGTAATTATATATTTAACTCCTACAATACTGATGTATTGGATTATGAGTCACAATTGATAAGATATATAAATGAATAACTCATCGTATATCTCCATCATGTCATATTCACATATTCGCATTTCTGAATGTACTGTATTTTCTGATCATCTATTGAACTTCAGATTGACCTCTATTTAGTTATTCATTTATATATCTAATCAATCTTGACTCATAATCCTAAACACCAATACTACCACTCACTGTCAAACTTTAACACACACAGGCACACAGAAGAAAACTGATTGTTATTATCTATTGTAATTATACATTTACATGTATGTGAGTCGGTGGCACAGCGGTTAGGATGCTCACCGACCATGCACATGGTTCGGGGTTCGATCTTCTGTCGACGCACACCTGATATCAGTGGTCGGCCTGCAAAATTTGGGCTACCAATATCACATGCTGAAAATTCCACACTTGTATCAAAAACTACGGTGTGGAATCAAGCTATAATCAAAAATAAATAATATTAATGGGAAGATATGATCAGTAGTTCAGTGAAGACACCCATAGGTGAGTTCATTTTCCTTGTTAATTGTGATAACTATCGGTTTAAATAGTAATCATCTTGTGATTCATCGTGAGATCGGATGACTGTAAAATTTCAGCATCTTTTACATTTCATGACAAAATCCTGAAACCAATCAAATCAAATCCTTGAAAACCAACACTTGAATATCGATTTGATGCTCAATACTGACTGGCCCTATTCAGGTAGGTAGGTAGTTACCTGGGTTCTAGTGGGAAGTCGTGACCAGTGGAGTACAGCAGGTCGCGTATGAGGGCAAATACTCGCTAGTGATAATATTCGCTAGTGGTCGCGCTGTATCATCAACTGGTAGAAGCTAGAATTCATGGACCATTGGATCGGGTCCCACTGGTCTACGAGGTCGCATTGTAACCGGAAGGTCCTGGGTCCGAACTCTGGAGTTGGGTGCGTGCTGTGAAGAGTCCCAAACTAAGCTGACGAAACAGCTGTCCATTACCTCGTGGTGGCTTTCCGATGGTCCTCTAACAGATGTCAATTCATGATGAAATCCTGAAACCAATCAAATCTATGCAAACAAATACTTCATTATCTTCTTCTTACTTCGATGTCGGCTAAGTCCCAAACCAATCAGAACATTTTTTTTTCACCTCCCTAGCCCTAAACGCCTACCAATCAGAAAAATCTGTTCTGGATCGATTTTATTGTGATTAGAAAATATATAAATGTGGCGCGTTTTTCCTAATAGAAACTGTATCCTATCAGTCACAGGCAGCAGTCTTTGTCTTTTGATATTTAAGTGGCTCAGTGAAACAGAAGGTGCGACGGACGAATAAGTGTATCTAGCATACCAGATGAGTTGTTCATTGAGTCAGTATTATTATACCCACACGCCTTAATCCACTCAGTATCATAGCAAAATGTACAATCGCATTTATATACCATTTATTTTTCATAAGAGAGGATAGTCACATACTGATGACTTTTCATAATCATAGTCGCTGATAATCATAATTATTATTATTAGGATTCTCTTGGGTTCCGAGTGGAACTTAGGGCTTGAACAACACATCTCCACTTCTTTCTATTTTCTTCCGTCCTCTTCAGCTGGTTAGCACCACGATTGCCCATTATCTCTCATCTCCTACTCCATGTCACCCTCTCACTGACGACCCACTCGTCGCTTCCCACTGAGATTCCACTCGAGGTCATGAGTGTTTGCCAATATAGTAGAAATGAGTTAATAATTCGCCTTTGTACGCTGAGCTTTGTTTAATTCATCAGAATACCTAGAGCTTTTAGTAACGCAGAAGAGATGAAAGTGTATTATTTTTGGAAGGTTGTTGTTCACTTTGTAGAATACTTTCAAAAAGGAGTTTGTTGAGATAGAATGTTCAGTGTCTACATGGCGTTCAGTTATCTCGCTCTTCATAGAGTCACTGCTGTTTTTTGCTGATATAATAATAATATCTTTATTCTGGACAGTATTTATAAAATGTACAGAATTTTCAAAGGGGTTTGTTGCATGATATTTTCCCTTCGGACAATATCTTCAAGTATAATATTAACTGACGGTATATCCTTTCTGTAACGCACAGTGGTCTCTGAGGTGAAGCACAAGCCATTCTATTATGATATGCCTGTTTTGTCTCATTTAAGAAATCTATCCACGATGTCTAGTTGAAATCCAATTGTAAGAGATGTTCAGAAGTACATTTTGAGACCTAAGTACATAACTGAAGAACAGTTATCTCATGTAGTGGAAAACTTTGCCACCTACAATCAGGCCTTTCCTCAAGTTTAGTAGGAATTTGAGAAACTGAAGCTTTATTGGAGGTCATGTCTTAATCGATTAAAACAAACCGAAAGAGAAAAAAATTTACACAATATAGAGATGGAAGTATTTGATAGCCGAAGTTTTAAATAGGCCGCTACGCAGGATAGTGTTCCTGAAACGTTTTCAGACAAGATAAACGCCGAATGACCAAAATGTCTGGCTCAACAAGAATAGTTAAATAGTTGTTATATGCTCATAAAAGTGCTCAGATGTAAGGTTTAATCTTTCAGTCTCCTGCAAACCAGTGGACAACTGGAAAACACTACTCTTAGCGTTGCTGTGAAGATGTTGGACTTTTTTTTACAGTGAACTTATAAGTTAAGTTTGTTATGAAATCATAGTTCATTTAACGATGTCTAATATCTCTAAATTTTCGATTTGATATTCTTGTTAATAAACTTTTGTTGACCTTCATTTCTGATGAAGATTTCTGTGAGAAAATCTAATTCTTCTTCCACAAAGTCAGTGGAAATAAACTATAGAGTAATTAAGAACATAAGACAGAATGTGATAATTAAGATAAACGCTCTATTATTCTATCTTATACTTGTTCAATGCAAAACAGCTTCTAAGATAATTTTTGTTATGCCTTTACTACTCTACTTTATTCTAACATTCATGGATTTATTTGGTAATTCATAGAGCCATTTCCTTTTATTTGTTTCAATAAAGAAAGAGAGAAGGAATATATTTCCAGGCAGGATAGTACGAACTCATTTTACTTCGTCGATTCTCTCTCTTCAACTGCGCAAATCCTAAACAAAATCAAATTATATGTTACAAAATGGTGTCTGAACATACTTTCTTCACAATAACTTCAAGTTATAGATGGAAAGTGTTAACAACATAATTTCAGCGATAATGTAAGTAGATAATTATTTAGTGTTAAAGAAGGTAACTATTTTCTCTAGCAATTAGACAGAAGGGTGGAGTTCAGATTTCTCTCTGAAACAAGGATAGACTAGAGACAAAATACAAGATGGAACAGCACAGAGTTAATTTATACATATGGTGGTAGAGAGTTCAGGAGCGTGGATGGGGGGGGGAATCCTGAAGTTAAGTTATAAAATAGATAAAATAATTTAATTTAGTGGATTTGGAACCATAATAGTGGGTTCACCACAGTGAGTGAAAGTCAAAATGAAGATTGAGTGGGACGTTATGCAACAGAACAAAACACAAAAGCACACGAACACAGCAATTCTGGTTACCAGGTAGGGTAGTGAGAGGTTCTATATCCAGAGGTTGGGTTCAGTATGCCAAAAAAGTATGTTCAGACACCATTTTGTAACATATAATTGTTTATACAAGTTTGACCACGGGTACGTATCAGTTAAAGAACCATCGAAAACCAGGGAGTACTGGACAGCTGTTTCATCCTAGTTCGGGAATCATAGGAAGTACGCACCCACTGGGGTTCGAATCTAGGACCTTCCAGTTACAAGGCAAGCTCGTATACCATTCAACCACTGGGACCCGATTCAATGGTTCTCCATCTGATATCAATTCGCGGTGGTGGAAGGATAGATTGGTAACAGAAGAATCAACCCAAAATGCGTAAAACAGGAGTGGTTCAACACCCGTTCGAAACATCTGGAATATTCTCCCACCCTTACAATAAGCGAGAGTGAAGAAGGAGAACTTTAAAAATCAGGTCTCGAAGTTGTGTGGTGACATCTGGTAAGCCCGACAACTTCTTTTTATTAATAGATCTTATTTTTATGGCACTCACAGAATGTGAGAAAGACTCAAACTTCGTAATTTACTTCATGTTTCTTAATTAGAAATACAAATCGGCTAATTCTTATATTTTCTTGAATTGAAATATATATTTAGGTGAATCCACTGAACTGTGTTCACAAGATCTTAAAACATATATTGATCCATCAAAGCACAAAGAGGGTATGTTTTCTTCATTTTACCAGGTACATATAAATTCTCCCATATATTTAAAAAAAGTTTATTCTAACAAATGATAATTAAATAGTCTTTTCAAATACTAACGGAATTTTATCGTATTCATTTATGGTGTGTTTTAAATGTGTCGTTATCATGATTATACATCTTAGGGGGCATTTTGGTTTATTACAAGGTTATGGACATTGTCATTAAGTGATCAATAACTCATTATTAGCTATAACTTGGCCACAGTGGTTTCGTTACCAGGATCACCAACATGTAATCTATCTAAAGAACTTTTTTTATTCCTTCACATTCCTTAGTGGAACATAGGGCTTCAAGCTAGAGGCTTGAAGTTTCTTTAGCACCGTTTATTTTTACAGGATGGGGTTGCTAGTCTCATGCCCAAACTTTTTTCTTTACTAGCTTTATTACTGGCTTAGCGAGGTAAGGGAGTGCGTCCGTTGGCCGGGGATCGAACCCCGGACCGTTTTCATGGTCGGCGAGCATCCTAACCTCTCTGTCACCGACGAACTTGAAGAACTTTTCAGCAAATTAAAATACCTAACAGAATCATGCGACCATTCTATCAATTCGCCAGTCAAATTTTTAGAAAAAATTAAAAACATTCAAGTGGATGACAATGAAATAATGGTGTCCTCTGATGTCACGGCATTATATACACTTCAATTGGTGCAAAACTAGTAA